GAGGGGAAGGGTAAAAAACAAAATGTTTAAATAAGGATACAGGTGGACCCATTGCAACAACGAGATGTTCAAGACAGTATGTTGAAAAACAAACTTTAGAATTTAGGTGGGGGGGGGGGGGCGGGAGTGTAGTTGTGGAGGTGGGAGGGAAGGGATGGTAGGGAAAAACAAAGGAAGAGGCAACAATGCTTAATAACAAATGTATTCATTACCTTGCTCATGTAATTGTAACCCTTCTGTACAGTAGTTTCACAATACAAAAATCTTATTTATACAAGAACAACAACCAAGTTCCTGCTCCCCATAGGCTATTCCTAAACACTGTTTCAAGAATTTATATTCAAGCTGAGCTCTCATGGCTCAAGCCTGTAATCCTTAGCTACTCAGGAGGCTGAGCTTTGAGGATCATGATTCAAAGCCAGCTCCTGTGGAGAAGTCTGTGTCCCTCTTATTTCCAGTTAACCAGCAAAAAAAAAAAAAAAGCCAGGCGTGGAGCTGTGACTCCAGTGGCAGAGTGCTGTTGTTGAGAAAAAATCATATTAAGAGCTCTGAGGACTCTGAGTTCAAGTCAGTACAGCACAAAACCCAAATATTCTGCTATGGTCTTGGCCAAAACTTAATTGCACACATACCTGTGCAGAAGCTGGGCGCTGCAGCACACATGTACAAATCTTGACTCACTTTGGCAATGAGATAAATGGTACTAGCCAAATGGAAACAAAAGGGACTATCATTTATTCAGAAAGATCTGAAATTTTAATAAAGTCCACTGAAATTTGTATGAGAACCAAGGAGTTCCAATTAGCTTATCCACGGGCAACTTCCTTCTCTAGAAAGAGCATTCCTAGCTCAGGACCTTTGTGTACTTTTGAACTCAGTTCAGGTGGGCTTCTCGAGGCCCACCTGGGATAACTCAATGGTCTTCAGCAACCTTTTTAACAGTAAATCAGCAATGGAGATTTAATTTAGCTCTCACTCATTTTAACAAGCAGCTGTGTGATTTTTAATTCTATTTTCATACGTTTGTAAACTGGAGCCTTTTCAGATTTAATTGGAATCTCAAGAAGAAACAAAACATACACACAAATAGAGAGAATGCAATCCATATAAAAATGGGTTTTATCATATATATTTTTTCTCCTTTTGATTCTAAATTAATTATTACAACCCTCATTGTACTTATTTTCAGAAGAGGAGACATTCATAAAGAGAAAGAGGTAAGAATGATAGATTAAAACAACTCTACATCATGCTTCCTTTTAATCAGTATACTTTCACACAAGACAACTGACTCAAATCCTGCTGTGATTTCATTTGCAAAAACTTCGCTAAATTAAGTCGATACAGTAAGTAAAACTCAAGCCAGACTTCAACTGTATAAAAGAGTAGGATAGGTTAGATGATATCTAAGATTTTTCTCTATGCCTTGCACTTTTAATAAGGTTTACAATGTCTTATCAATAAAATAATAAATTTTACATATTATTATATGTAATATAATAAAGCCAATTGTTAAGACATATAAACCAAAGTATAGAATGCAAAAGGATCTAAAAGTTAAAATATTTTGAAGTATCTTTACAATATGAATGATGACTTTTTGTTCGTATATGATTTTTTTTTTTTAGGTCCGGTCGTTGGGCCTAAACGCTGGGCCTGGGCGCTGTCCCTCAGCTCTTCAGCTCAAGGCTAGCAGTTCTACCACTTGAGCCACGGCACCACTTTTGGCTTTTTTCTTTTTGCTTATGTGGTGCTGAGGAATTGAACCCAGGGCCTTGAGCATGCAAGGCAAGCGCTCTACCACTGAGCCACCTTCTCAGCCCCTCATATATGATTTTTTTAAAAGGCATGGTGTGGCTTTCTAGATTGATTATAAAATGCAGTGGGTTTTGCTGCAATTATCAAGGATACTGGAAGGTGAGGTGAGAAAAGCTTAATTCTATGAAGAAAATCAACTCTGAGTGACAATAGCATTCAGAAATACAAGATGGCCATCCTTCTGTCCATCCAATGTCATCCATAAAACCAGAGACAGAATGCTGACGGAACAGCTGCTGGTTTCTCCCCACATTACCTGACAACTGCCAGGGTTTGTGATCTCTCTGTATGATGGAGTCACCGGGATATAAGGGGCAGCAACAGATAGGTGGTGTGCTATCTTCTGAATTTCAGGAGGTGACACTCAAGGCTCTGTGAGTGAATCTCTGTGATGTAAATGAAGGTTTCCAGAGGAAAAGGGTGGCAGGGGAAGATGTAGTGACCAGGGAAAGGCTGGCTGAGCCTTGTGTACATGAATAGGAATGCAGAGCACAAAAGACACTGCCACCAAGATTGGAGATGATGAGGTGAGACTGGAGACTCACATCAACTATTTCAGGAAACAAATGGGAAGGTATATTCATGAAACCAGTTCAAGGTCAGTGCCAGATCCTCATACTTGGCTCTGTTGGTACACACAGACCAGCCAATGGAAAAAAAAAGATTAATAACTAAATAGACAGTAGGATCGATTTTGGAATAAAGAAAAAGAAAGGCTGGAGGTAAGGGTGTAATTTTGTTTTTACAAGATGGGCATAGGTGATACATATAGAACCACACAATGAACATGCCCTAATGTCTATGTATTTAAAAATCAGTAAGACACCAACTTCATTGATGTATTGACCACTGATGAGTTCATAGCCAAATGTACTTGGAGGAGTTAATACCCAGCTAGAGAAAGTAATCACTGGGGATGCCTTTGATGTTCTAACTTGTTTCTTAACCTGTCCTCTCTGATTACCAGCTTCTGTGAGGTGATTGGCTTCCTCCCCCATACCCTTACCCCATGCTGTTTCTGTCTTATGAAGACCTAGAAGCAACCAAGTCAGCTGAACATTGACTGAAATCTTTGGGCAAGAGCCAAAAGAAAGCCTTCTTCCTTTAATTGTTTTCATCCAGCATTTTGTAATCACAATAAAAGGCTGACTAAATACAGGACACAGGAATCCTATAATACTGTCAACAACACTCAGAAATCAATTTCCTAAGAAAGAAATGTACCTAAAATATTGGAAAATATTAGTTGTGTTATATTTAGTTCAGTTTCAAAGCTGTAACCATTGATAATAGACTTACTTTTATATGCAAATAAAAATCTATTGGATGCTATATTTGTTCATGGCAGTTGAAACTAACTGAGCACATGCTATGAGCCAGGCAGTTTTTGAAGTGCTAAGTATACATGTATCTCATTTCCCTGTTATAAGTTTATGAGACAGACAATAGGCTCTCTATTTTATAGATAAGGAAACTGAAGCACAGCAAAAGGAAAAAAAACTATAAAAGTAATAAAACTGAGATTCACATTCAAGCATTCTGACTAGTTTTTCCAGTTAAAACTAAACTACCTTTCCTTTAGAATTTGCATTTTCAGGTGCATCCCAGCCTCAAGAGGATCATATTTTGAAAAATAATTTTAACTATGTAAATGATACATGGCATTGAGAAGGAGAATGGAGACAAGAGATGGGTTCTGAAGAAATGATGTGGGAGAATCAGCAGAACTTGGCAGTATGAGTGCATTGAAGGAGAAACAAGGAAAATGTCATGTCTTGAATAGCTGAAGTAAGGAGGGAGAACTCAGGAAGTTTCTACAGTTGAAACAGCAAAATATAGGCTTAGGATGAAGTTGATGCATAGACTTCAGGCTTCTAGAAGACATCTAAGTTTACAAGCCAGGTGGGCAGCTTCACAAAAGAACAGGCAATGGGTCAGGTGGAAGGAAGAGAGCTGTCCTTTTCCCTGCAATGCTGAAACATCTCTCCCCACTCTGAAATCAATCCTAATTGAGAAAATTATTGTGTGCTGAATGGATGCAGATGTGAGAGCTTAACACAAAATTAAAACCATCTCCCCAGCATGTGGGGGTATAAATTCAGGGAAAATAAAAGGTGGGATCAGAGAAATCCACCAAGCACAAATAGTGGTCTAATTTCCCAACCTGGAATCCCCATAGAGTGCTAAGCATGTTCATCCCAGATTTCTATCCTTTTGTGTGTAAAGCCTGTGCTTGTCAAGACACTGTGACTGCGTAGCTGGCATCTCAGTGACTCTGCAGTGTTTGAGGATGCTTGACCAATGTAAAACTGTCCATCAGATTATTTTGTTAAGGATTCTTCTCACTTTGACAAGAAGGGAAGGGAAGCCATCCTGGATGCCACGCATCCTTTTAGGTCTCAGGTTCAAGCATCATTGGGTAGGTTCTACATGAGACACTTCCATTAGGAGAACAACATTTTATCTTTACCCAAAGAAGCTGATGGGAGGCTTGGAACAGAAGCAGGGAGGAAATGAAACCAACACAGAATGGAGAACATTTTCACTGATGTCTAGAACTAGTTATTACTCATGTCAGCTTAATCAGATCAGAGGATTCCTTCAGACAAAAGATGAGGTATTTTGGTTGGATGCTCATTAGAATTTAGAATGCTTAATTTCCTCCTTAACTTTAAGTGCCTACCAAGGCAGAAATAATGAGGATAGCAATAAAATAGAAGGCTTTAAACATTTTTAGCATTTAAAAGATTTAAGATTTCTAAAATTTTAAATATTTTTCTAAAACATTTTGTGATCTCTAAAATTAAATTAAGTCTATAAAATTAAATTCAGTTGGGATTTTTTTTTTAAAAAAGTAACTCTGACTTCAGCTAAAATCAATCATCAACATTATATGGATTTAGTGATACTGGTCCTGTTTTGCAAACTAAAACAGAAAATAAAGATTTCCTTGAAAATTATCATGGGTACAATTTTCTTAGTGATTATTACCTTTTATGTATATAAAAATGCCCTTTGAGACTCATTTATGAACAACTGGCTTTCAGTGTAGATGTACTAATGATTGATTAATTCACTTATCCCTTATTTTGTTCTCAAATATCTATAGTGACAGGAGTAAGCAATGCCACGCCTGGAGTTTGGGTCAAGTACTTCAAAGCAACTGTGAACAGAGTACTTACAAAGTGGTACTTCCAGTGGATGTCCTGTTACATCACACCATCCAATGGGGTGAAGGTCAGGGCTGTCTACACCCATCCAATAGTCATACTTATGGTCCCAACCATCAAAATGAACCTGTTAAAAGGAATTTTGAATAATTACTACTTTTCAAATAATATATCACTTATTCTTTTGTCAAAATATTTGAAAACAGATCTCTGAAGCTGAGATTGAAATTGTATAAATCACATCTTGCAGCGGAAACAATATTTGAAACCTGCCATCTTATAGCCCCTCTAATCTAGCCAAGAAAGGTTCTTCTATCAATTTTTCAAAGAAATATAAAAAGTTGGGAAATGAAAATTCCTTCAGAGATTGATTCAGACTTTGGAGGCTTAAGGCCAATCCATTTTCTCCATTAAGACAAATCCCGTGATGTTGTTGAGAAGACATTTCCTGTCCTGAGGGAGTCTCCTGGTAGCCATGGCTGGTACCATGTCAGCATCATAACAAGAATAGCCACATGGTTGGAACTGTGTCAGCATCATAACAAGAATAGCCACAAGTGCAAGTCTGGTACTGATGAAGCTAGAGTCTAGAATGCACAGAAGCAAGAAACTCCCAAATCCTCACAAATGAGGAAAGGTAGAGCAGGAACAATGGATACAAAGAGAGAAGACAAAGTATGTCACTAGGGTAACGGGATGCTATAACAATCTTGATAACTGTGAAAGGACAAAATGTCAACAGGAAACCTTCCAGGGAGCCGTCCACTTGGTAGAGGTTTATCACCACGTTGGATTCTATCTACCAAACAGACACAATGCTGCACACATATGCGCAGGCCTAAATGATAAAATAAAAAGTAAATTCTTACTTCTCAACTAACAAAAGTTTCATCTCTGGATGAAGATGTGTGTGCAAGGAAACACAGACATGAAAAGAGGTTATTATGTAGCTCATTTATTCTCTGATGTATTTGCTGGATTTGGTTACTAAAGTTAAATGGAGACTATATCTTTGGTAATGCAAAAAGAATCCTCAATAGTTTTTTGAAAAATACTTTGAATAAATAGAATAAGGTGTCTACCACAATAGGAAATGATTGGAAATAGACGTCTAAAATTCAGGACATAAAGAAAAGAAGCAAAAATTATATTTCCTGAGTCCTAGCATCTTTTTCTAAGGCAACCTTTTTCTAGTGATCTCCAAAGCATGGTTTCCACACCAGCAACATCAGCACCCTGGACATGAGGTAGGGAGAAATCCCCAGGCCCATTCCAACTCCAGCAGGGCAGGATAAGTACTCCAGATGCCACCATCTGTGGACCAGTGATCTCAAGAATTCCCACAATGTATTTCTCCCAGACGTTGGCTTCTGGGCATGCAGAAGATCATTTCATAGCACAAATTATATGTAATGACTGATTTAGATTTTGGACAGAAACCTGGTCATTAAATAAAGGAAAATACCCAGGCTGAACATGACCATCAGCCCTAACTATGACACAGAATGGAGAAATTTGGTCTCAGCAGTAGCTGTCATGTTGTGGCAGAGGACACACAGACGGGAGAGCTGGTAAGGCCGTGGGAAACTGAATGGCAGAGTGCTAGAAAAGGAGGAGCTACAGGAGATGACCACAAAATTGGGGAGGGGGAAGACGGCTCATTCAAGAGCTAGACTGTACTTATACAAGATGAGACTTCATGAAGATAAGCAGAGAAGCTAAAACAAAAATTAGTGGGGTTACATATTGCTGAGAGAGCAGAGACCAAAGTAGAGATTTCAATTATACTTGCAGAGAATCAATGAAGCACCCAAAAGTCTACCATTTGAGGAAATAACCATGTCTATAAGAGTTACACTGGATGAGCCTTAAAAAGACTCAGATTAAGAAGAGTCACCGGTAATTAACTGTCCAACAAGACCCACCAGTATCCTTCTGAAAAGATAAATATTACATCAGGTATGGTGGTGGCTCATGCTTGTTTGCCTAGTAACTTAAGGTACAGAGAGGGAAGATTGTGGTTCAAGGAAAGCCCAACAAAAAGGTTCAACCAATACAAAGCTGAAGGTGATATGTACAACTTTCATCCCAGCCATGCAGGAAGCTTAAACAGGAAGACCTTGGACTAGACTTACCCAGGCAAAATTATGAGACCCTATTTGAAAAGTGACTGAAATAAAAAGAGCTGAGGGTATGATTGCCTCCCTAGCAAGCACAAGGCCCTGAGTTCAAACTCTCAGTAGAGTGGGGGGGGTGGGGAGAGAATAATAATATTCATACTGCACACCATGCCATCCATAATGGGTAATATACAATGAAGTTATTAGACAAAGTAAGAACCACATGAATGAGAGATAATCAACTTTTTAAAAAAGCAGCCAAAAGAAACAGTCCCTGAGATGACCTACATGCTGTAGGCCAAGAAAGAGATACATTCAAGAAGTTAAAGAAAAAAAAATCTTCATGAATGAATAGAGAGTCTCAGGAAGGAAATAGAAACTTTTTATAAAAGAGACAAGTGTAAATTCTAGAACGGGAAAGCTAAGTGTCAGAATTTTTTAAAGTTTGAAAACGAGAACGGACATTACAGCAGATTAGTGGGAAAGCGGGTGAGTAAGAATGGAAGCAGACTCACAGAAGCTAGAACTCTAAAGAACAGTAAGTGGTTTAAATAATGAAGAGAGCTACAGGCACTTGAGATAACATCAACACAGGGGAGAGGAGGGGAGGGGAGGGGAGAGGAGAGAAGGGGAGGGGAGAGGAGGGGAGGGGAGAGAAGAGGAGGGGAGGGAAGGGAAGGAGAGGGGAAGCCAAACTAATCAAACACAAATAATAATATTGAAAAAGAATCTCTCATTCTCCCCAAGTCTCTAACTTACAAATTTAGCAAAAATGGTAAAATCCACCACAGTAAGTTTAAAGAAAAATGAAAACAACGCAAATCACAGTGAATGAAAGACAGAAAGGAATCCTGAGAGCAACCAGGGAAAGGCAGCAATTACACAGAGTGAAACTGATAGTTGACTGCTATGCCCCATTTTCAACGGAGGCATGAGACAGTTAAATGACATGTCAACACAGGGATTTATATCAGACCCAAAATCACTTAATATAGAGAAATTTTCAGATAAACAAAAGCAAAATGATAACTGCCCATTATGAATGAGCAGTTAAAGAAATGTCAAGGGAAGAATGTTAGGCTGATGGAAGGGGATGCAGGTAGAGTTCTAATCCACCGGAATGAGCGATGAGCAGACGTGATAAATGTGGGGAGGTTGGAAAGGCCAACTCAGCACTGTCATCAAAGCAAATTCTCTATGCGGCAGAATAAAACATAAAACAGTATGGTCATCTCTGTGGACACAGACGATGCATTTGACAAAGTTCAACATAGAACGATAAGCACTCTCGGCAAACTAAGATTTGACTGAGAAAGACTTCTGGAGACACTCACAGCTATATCACACTGAGTGACATGCTTTTCTATTGTAAAGATACTGTACAGAGGGGTTACAGTTACATGAGTCAGGTAATGAGTCCATTTCCTATCGAGCATTGTTACCCCCTCCTTTGTTTTTTCCCTTCTATCCCCTCCCTCCCCACCTCCCCAACTCCCCCCCTTCCCCTCCCCCAAGTTGTAAAGTTCATTTTCAACACAGTGTCTTTTATGTCTCATTATTACAAAGGGTCAACCTGTATCCTTGTTTCAGTAACAAAATACTGATGCTTTCTTGAGGGGGGGAGTTTTTCTGGGGCTTGAACTCATGGCCTGGGTGCTGCCCTAAGCTTTTTTACTCAAGGCTAGTGCTCTACACCACCTGAGCCACACCTTCACTTCTGGCTCTTTCTTTCTTTCCTTTCCTTCCTTACTTTCTTTCCTTTCTTTCTTCTTTCTTTCTTTCTTTCCTTCTTCCTTCCTTCCTTTCTCTCTTTCTTCTTTCTTTCCTTCTTTCTCTCTTTCTTTTTTTGGTATTTAACCGGAGATTAGAGTCTTACAGACTTTTCTGCCCAGACTGATTTTGAACCAGGATCCTCAGATCTCAGCCTCCTTAGTAGCTAGGATTACAGGCACGAGCCAATGGTGCCTGGTTATTTATTGAACTCTCTTCTCAAAAATCTCAACAATGAAGCACATTTATCTATTTCTATTCAACACTGAAATATCTCTTGCATTATTCACAGATGGGTGTCCATGTAGGACACTCTAAGAGCTAAAATCAAAAATGGAGGCAGTGAACATCAAAGAACAGTCATCAGCGATGGTAGGGACGTGAAATTGCACAAGTAAGCTGAGCACCTAGCAGGATTCTGCTTTGCAAAGAGAGATCGTTCTACTTCTCCTATTGTGCAATTAGGTCTAAAACAACAACAAAAAGTCATAAGTTCAAAGTTTCTGTGATAGCAAAGGTGTTCTTTCTTGTCAGTTGTGGGGCCAGAACGCTGGACCTGGGCGCTATCCCTCAGCTCTTCAGCTCAAGGCTAAACTCTACCACTTGAGTCACAGCTCCACTTATGGCATTTTCTGCTAATGTAGTACTGAGGAATCAAACCCAGGGCCTCGTGCATGTAAGGCAAGCACTCTATCACTAAGCCACCTTCCCAGCCCCAAAGGTGATTTGTTTTATGTATTCTCCTTAACATTTTTCTTAACATTCAATTAGCCTTTCTGAGGCTGTGCATAATTACTTAGGATGGCACCTCTCCTAATTCCATGATGTGACTCCCACCTCCTCCATGGGCTGCCTAACTTGACATACACAGTCCTAAATCCACATTGTTATGACATGCATCTTTATGAAGGATGTTTCTATTAGTTTAGATATTCTTATTTCTAGGATAATTAAAAAATTTAAGTAGGTGGTCACACCTGATTAGATAGAGGAGAATGTAATTTTAAGAATACTTATAATTTTAAAAATTCTTTTTTTTATTGTGAAAATACCGTACAGAGGGGTTACAATTACATGGGAAAGGTAATGAGTGCATTTCTTATCAAGAATTGTTGCCTCCTCCTTTGTTTCCTCTTACCATCCCTTCCCATACCCCCCACAAACACCCCCGTGCCAAAGTTGTAAAGTTCATTTTCAACATAACAATCTGTACATCTCATTGGTGCAATGGGTCCAC